CGAGGCGGAAGTTTCGGAAATTCGTACTTCAGGGTTCCCTTGACTGTCTGGTGCTTAGTTGGGAATGGGTTAGGGTTTAGGGTTTAGGGTTTAGGGTTTAGGGTTTAGGGTTTAGGGTTACAGGGACTACCTGGGCCCTAAATAACCGAGACTTGTGGTCATAACAAGGAGCCCTCAAAAGGTAGGTTCTTTTGGGAGCCATTATAGGGTTCAGATATACACCCTAAACCCTAAACCCTAAACCCTGGTTTAGGGTTTAGGGTTATTCGGGCTTTAAGAGGTTTAGGGTTCTAGGCTTTAGGCCCAGATCTTCCAACATCCCTTCCTTTTAAGGGGTCGTACAAAGGGTTCTGCAGGAAGTTTAGGGTTTGGGTTGTTGGGGGTTTAGGGTTTGGGATTTAGGGCTTAGGGTTTAGAGTTTAAGGTTTACCTTAACCCCAAATAACCTACATTATATGTTTAAGGTCTTTTATAAAGAAATCATAATAAGGAGCCCTAAACAGGTGGGTTCTTTAAGGTCCAGGTATTGTTTCGGGCTCAGAGTTTAGGGTTTCTATAACGCGCAAAGGCTCTCCAGGAGTGCTACAGACTGTTTGCCCTGAGGCACCGAAATTATACCGCACATAATATAGGGGCCTTAATAATTAGAACAAAGTTTTGTCGAATAATATACTATAGCTATATTAAGGAACATCCAAAATAATATAGGGGCCTTAATAATTAGAACAGGGGTTTTGGGGAATACTATACTGTAATTATAAGAAGGAACCCCCGAAATAGTCTTAGGTAGTTATTGAGGCCCCTCTATAGATTACCCTCAGCCCAGAAAGCCTAAACTAGCAACCGTCAAACCCCTTGCACCGAAGGCGCAGATCACGAAGTTCCGTCGCGAGTAGAAGGGTGACATGTGAAATAAGTCCAGGAGAATCTCCTTCAGTCGGCGCTTGGGACTTTCCGAAAATTACGGTACCCTTATTTCGGGGTCCTTATAATACTTCAGTCGCCACTTGTTCACTTGCTTTTTCTAGGGTGTGGGGTTGAGGATTTCAGGATACACTTGTTGAGTTTAGTGTTCTGGGTTTATCAGGTTTAACCCCTCAACCCTAAACCCTAAAGTTAGTCGCACTGCGAGATAGACGGTAGGGCCCTGGGATTTTGTAGCTGGTGCAGGAGCCTGAATACTACTGGGGTACAGTATGGTATACCTATATGGGAACGCAAAAGGCATTTTGTCACTATTTAGTCACATGACGGTGCGCACCCATAAAAGTCCCCATAATCCTGCAAGTCAGAGTAGGGTTCGCACTGCTATGGCAATCCCAGAGAGCCAAATACCATGCAATACCCCTTAAGTACAGCGTATACCTCAAGTTCTAGCCGCCTCAATTTTTGTTTATGTACGGTCCATTCCTGAATGTACGGGCATATGGCTCCCTGGCATACCAAAGCCCAACATACACCTTTGATGCGAAGAAGCCCTTGATTAAAGACGATGCCAAAATTTGCGTGCTCCCAAGGCTCGATAACGATGAGGACAATCACGATCCACTCCTGATGGTGCTGCTGCCGGGGTACTGACTCAGAGAGATCCTCAATCAAAAGGCATACTTTTGACCACGATTTCCTCTCAAACGGAGTATTGGAGTTACGGGCCTCTGGGACGGAGACGACAAAACCCCGGATGTGAGACTGCACCGTTTTGCGAAGCCAAGCGGCCAGCTTGTTCGAATGCTCCACCTCGGTTTGCCGAGAGCAAAAAACCAAGACTAATGAGGGTCTAGGGTTAGGGTATGAGGCCTCAGGGTATACTTGAAAGGTAGCAAGGATCCTGCTCTAAGTGAAGGTATACGCCCCGGTTGTACGGGTTTGGGGGCGCCTTGAATCATACCAGGATGCTATGGTTTATTGTACACCTCTTTGACAAAGGTACCGGGGTCCTGCCTCAAGCAGTGTTGCTAACGATCCGGTCTAGGTTCCCCTGTCACAACCCCTGGACCTCATCCTTTAGACCAGCAGGGTTTATAGGGTTTACAGCTTAGGTAATCCCAGGGCCCAATGAACAGGAGAGGGATTGGGAGCATACCTGGGTAGATTTACCTTGAAACTGCAAGTGGATGTTATTAACGACAACAGTACTACTCTAGATCAAGCATCTATGTCAAGTAACCAGCCTCGACCCCTAAACTCAAACTCCTGAACTCCTCAATCCCAAAATCCTAAACCCCAAACCCCTAAACCCTAAACTTCAAAACTTCTAAACCCTATATCCTTAAATGACAAAAGAATCTTACTGTCAACGGGAGGCTTTGGATCATAACAATTATTTTGACAGAGTTCCAATCGCAACACTGTCCAGTAGTAAGTGACGATACCAGTAGACATAACAGAGATACTAATATTAGCCGTAATCGTAACAATCCACCCTGAACACTTAACCCTAAACCATAAAACCGCACCTACCAATCATAATCTAAAGTCGTCTTCACTCTGCCGAAACCCTCATTAACCCTAAACCCTAATTAACAGCCCTAAAGCCTTTAATTCCCCATCGAAGCCTGCCGAGTGTCCAAAATCCCATTAACAAAACCTGGAACGCCTGCGAAAATCCTCGATAAATCCTGTCGAAGGCTAGAGAACGCTGAAAATTCTGACTCCAAACCCTAACCCCTAATCCCGAACCCTAAACCCTAAACCCTAACCCCTAAACCCAATGTAAACCCTAAACCCCAATCGTTACACTGCCGGCTCTTCCAAGTGGCCTCCAGCTGCGTCTGCAGGAAACCTGTGTCTGCATTTGGGGTTTACCTAGGGTTTACGGTTTAGAGGTTCAGGGGATCAGGGGTTTAGGGGATCAGGGGTTTAGGGTTTACGGTTTAGAGGTTTAGGGGATTAGAGGTTTAGGGGATTAGGGGTTTAGG